ATATATACACAGTGTGTTTGTTTGCATTGGCGATGAATGACAGATGAAAGAGTTAACTCCAAACCACAGATGTGTTTATGGATCCCCCCCCACCCACTGGTTGTCTATAAGAATCCAGTGCAGCTGCTGAGAATGAAACATCTATAGATCCTGTCCTTTATTCACAGAAGAGCAAAGATACAAACATTTCAGAGCAGCGCGGCCTAAAATATAAACCAACTACGAAGTCACTCATTCCTCCACAACCGTTAATGCTCACTGGATGTGTAAAGTGACTCATTAATTTAAAAAAAAGAATCAGATCAGTATTTCTTACCAGATTTCAGGGACTGAGAGTCTCGTCGGCAGGATCCTCCCAAAGTGTGTGGACAGATCTGAGGGTGAGAGTCAGAGTCCGACCTGAACAAAGCAGATAACAGAGCAGTGAGGCCCAGACTATTCTCCGTTAGCTCTAAATGCTAACTCACTTGATAAGTTAAAGGACCATCATCAGTGCTTTTCACCTGTTTTTCTGGGCCTGAGGCAAAAGGATCTGAAGAGGATCTGATGTGTATTTAAACTTCCTGGTTGAACCACTTTCCAGGAGAGGGGGCCCAGATTTGTTCGTCTCTTTTTGATCATTTGATTTTAAATTAAATTCTGTTTTTAGTTCTATGATTGCGTCTTGATTTGGGAACTGAATCAAACAAAAAGCAAATATCTGTTTGGCCACGTCGTCTATTTATCTGTTCATTTATCATGAACACCTCTGTTAGTGGATTAGTCCACTGCAGTAAATTGCAGAGGGGTGTTCGCGTGAGGTTTTAGTTTCATAGCTGCTCATTAGGATGCAGAACATTTGTGCTCACACAACAGTCATGCGTATCAAACATTCATCTTTGAGTCATTATTAGAGATTTGTGAAATTCTTATGAAGGAACTCATTCATGATGAATCTTTGAGAACAGCTGATTGTAGATAAATGTGTTTGAAACTTGAAGAGAAGCAAAGAAAAGCTTGGAGACAAGAGAGAGGGAGAACGAACGTCTCGGCGTTGCAGGAAATGAGAGAAAGAACTTGACCCTTTTGTCCTCTACACAACCACACACTCCTACACACACACACACACTTCCCAAAGGTTAATGTGATGCTAATGTGGCCTATAGAGGGTGATCATTTCCAGACCTCTGCTGCTCTCCTCACCTATTTATAAAAACTGTTTGCAGAGGCTGAACAAGCGATTCAGTTCTTCCACTGGACTAAAAGTTGCAGCATCACAAGTTAAAGTACGTTCAAGTTGAAGGACGTTCAGCCCCTAAAGATGTTATTGATTGTATTAACCTCTAATGTGTATTTTGAAGCTGTAGATTGTCCTGGTGCTTCTCAAGTCAAAAGAGAAAGAACTATATATATATATATATATTTAACAGCCAGAAGAAGTTGGTGCACAGACACAGGACGTGAACCTCTGATGCATCAAACTTGTTCCTGCACATATTTATTTTCCCACTCGCTGAATAGAAACAGCTCCACACACACACACACACACACACACACACACACACTGGCTCTGGGCTGCCTATAGAGCACAACCCAGCTCTCATCTCTCTCCATCTCTCATCACTATTTTTATTTCTCACCGACCTTAATACATTTCATCTGTGAAAGGAAGCCGTTCCACTGTGTCATATCCTGGGAGGTATCGATTTATCCTGCCTCTAATTGCTATGCAACTGCCAACTGCTGCAGTGTTTGAGTTTCGCACTGGAAGATAAAAAAGACTGTGGCCCTTCATTTGGGTTTTCTGCCCCGCGGCTGTAAATCTGTTTATATTTTCTTCTCACTTCAGCAGCCTTTAAACACTCGGCTCCGTGTTTTCTTCTTCTCACGTTAATTTGCCGTCTCTCAGTTTTGTCAAGTTCTGCCTGGAACAGATCTTTGTGCCTATTTGAGTCATTATTTTATTTGTTATTCTTTATGTTCTCTGCACTTTATACTGAATGATTTTGCCTGTAAGGAGAAAACAAACATGAGATTTTGGAGGCAGCAACCACATAATCAAAGGAAGATCAAATAAGAAATTAACTTTATCAAATTTACCTTCTGGAGATTTACTTTGACTTGTTCTAGTTTTTTTACTGGTTAACATACTTTGTCAAAGTACTGTTATACTTTGTTGTTGAGGGAGCCACAAATTAAAGCTTATTATTCGTAGTTAACGCCCCCTGGTGTTAGATCCTCATTCCAAACCAGACTGTTTCTCATTAACTCACTTTAGCTCCGTTTCTTGTTGCGTTCTCATTTGCTTAATAGTATAATCTCTGTTTTGTGGGCACCTAATTGAATTGCCTTGATGTGTTTATGGGAAAGAGGGAAGAGCAGTTATTACTGCAGTGTTTTATTGTGGGTTAGGACACTAATTGCTAACTAACAGCCAGCTAGTGTTGGACTCTAATTGTGAAGAACAGTGGAGCAAGCAGGGGAATAGAAAACTAGGTTAAAATCGCAGCGTAAATTGGCAGAAGATAAATATGAATATGAGCTAATGAATATAAATCCAAGAAACGCACAGAGGGTGGTTGAGTTGAATTTAGAAACCTGAGATAACTGGACATCAGCTGAGCTTAAGAAAAAACTTTTAATGGAAATTAAAGATTTAATGTGTCACATTATCATCCGGGGAAAAAGTAATAAAACAGAGAACCCTGAACCGAGCGATCTGTAAAGTGGGAGCTGGAGGAAAACACCGGTTAAGTAGAAAAGAACTAAAAACAAGAGAACTTCGAATAAGAACTACCTAAAATGTACTTAATGTGTACTTTGGCATTTTAGTTTTGTCCACGTCCCATCCACTTACATGGAGCAGGCATGGTTTATGAACAATACTGCATTAGCCACCAGGGGGAGACACTTTGGTTTCACTTTCAGGAAGCTGTCATGTCGTCCAGCCGCAGCCTGAGACGCTGTGTAAGAACAGGCCTCGTCGTGATCTCTCTCCTCCGCAGCTTTGTTTACCTCCTCAGTTTCAAAATAAAGGGGCGTCCCAGTGTTTCTGTCCCTGGAGCTTCCGGCTGCATCGCTAATTCAGTGTTGACGCGCATCTCTAGCTGCTTTCTGTGAAAGCTGAGCAACTTTTACCAGTTTCTCATTCATCTTTGTTTTTCCATGAATACAATGATCGAGCTCCTCAAGAAAAGAAAAATACTTTGGTGCAGCCGCCCCCCCCCCCCCCCCC